TCCGCGTTGCTGTTAGGCTCCGATAGAACAACCCGACCGGACAAATACAGCTTTCATAAAACGCTGCAAAGGATTTCTTTCGACTGGGATCGCGGTGCTTTTGTTCCACCATTCCTGCCCCCCCCCCTCTTTCCTCTCTGCTCACGCCACAAAGAGCTAATCTGAGACGAACACTCGCTCCCGCTCTGACACATTGTGAAGCAAAACCGCCGTGATTTTATTTTCTTTAAACCATGTAAGTGAAGCATGAGGTGAGAGCCATCATCCATGGAGGAGCACGGAGGGGTTAGAGAGAGAGAGAGAGAGAGAGAGAGAGCAGCGGGGATTAGACGCCATGCTTCCTTTTACCTTCAGCTGTTCTTCCACGTTTACAGTATCAGAGCGACCAGATAGACGTTTGGGTTTTTCTAATTTGCAGATGAAATCAGTCCTCGGCGGCTGCCAGTCGGAGGGATATCCGTCGAGTCGAGCAGCCCTGGGGCCAAACGACCTTTCCTGCGAGGCCCTGCTGCCTTATCTGATTCCAGCAGGCGGGGAGAGATGACGGCCATGCCAGAGCCTTTGATTTTTTTTTTTAGTATATCCCTTTGCTTAAACACTGCTTTATTGATCGCCAACAGAGCTCATAGTGTTTCTCGGCTAAAAGAGGCGCTATCTGTAATGTGAAACCCGGGAGGACAACGGGAGAAAAGTGGACGCACACCGATCCTCGTGCCGATTCTTCCAGATCGCGCCGGTCAACTGCGTCAAGATCGTTTCCTTTCTTCCAGACTTATTAACATTATTTAATGAGTCAGTGTTCAGGGTGTGATGACTCCATCCGCTACAGCCACTTTCAGCATCCATTAGTTCATTTACCTGTATGAAGTAGGGTTGAATCCGATCAAACATACTAAAAGAGCAGTCTGGTTGATCACTATATTCATACAGGACCTTTCAGAAGCAGTGATTTTAAATGAATTAATGATTGTTAAACTCTGTGGACCTGACCCATTTCGCTGTGTTGAGTAGCACCGAGCTACAGTACAGAGCAGCAGGCATCTGCCTCGTCACTCCACGCAGATGGCAGCAGAAAGTATGTAAATTGGTTCATTAACCTCACGGTGCTTAAACCAGTGGGCCGTTCAGAGGGCTCGTTCCATCCTGGTTTCCTCGTACTTTATCAGCGCCCAATAATGGCACCAGGGAACTTTCCCTAATGGCCTGTGGTGGTTTGCTGTGGTGTTATCAAATACTGTACTAATTATACATGACATCCCTCTGATTAACAGTCTGTGATTACTGCGCCTTGTCAGATCATCTTTTTCTCCACTGCTGAAAAAGACAGTCATCTAATTTCTTGGTGACGACATTTTTTAGGGAAAGAAAAAGAAAAGAGGCCTTAAATAACCAACCCCTGTCAAGAAGGTTTGGATCTTTAACCCCTGAAAATATAAATGGAAACACTGAGAAGATCTTTATTTTCAGTAAATGCCCCCCCCCCCCCACCCGTTGCCTGCACAGCGTGTGGAAAATCAGGCCTCTGTGTGTGAGCTGCCAGCAGTGGGGGCTTGCACCTGGAGCAGGGAGAAGCATGCAATGGGTCAAGGGTCACTTTGTGGGCTAAACACGATTGGAGTCCTCCATCTTCCTAAGAAGGCCAGACAACCGCCGCGGCCACGTCGCACAACACGGGCCTTTTCACGCACCCCTTCCTTCCCTTCCCTCCTTCCCCTCTCATTCACCTCCTTTTCTTTTCTCCTCTGGAAGGGCGCAGTAATCCATAATCCACTCAACTATCGGCAGCTCAATTATCCCGCCGGTTCACCCATTTTTCTCCCCTCGGATGGACATTCAAAAACAATTAACCTCTTCACGGCTGGGGACTTTTCCCGGGGAGGGGCGCAGTGGTAATTGAATGACTCCCGCCATTTACATTCCCGACCATGACTTCACTCCTTCACGCATAAATCTGGTTACCGCGAGTCCTAATCTGTGGCTTTGCGATAGTCCAATGTCATTATCATTGATGTTGTGTTATCATGGAGACAGTGTTTCACATCAAATGGGATTTAACGAGACAGTTTGTTAATGTTTACGTAACACCCGCCTGACCTACTTAAAGCCTTAATGCTCAAAACATGTTGACAGATTGCTGATTTTTGAAAATGACGCCGTTATTGAACATAAAGTGATTTTTCTCGTTTTCATCTCAGTAGGCGTCGCACGTTCGGAAATCGGTACGAGTGGACTATTTCACACCGGGTGTCTGTGAGCCACGTCGCATCCCCCCCCCCCCCCCCGCATCCTCAGCCTTCAATAAAATGTTGTCTTCTCGCCCCCTTCGTTATGGAGGGGCCTCCTATTCATCTCCAGGTAGAAAGCCTCAAAGTGTAGGAGGGGAAAAACAGCTTGTTGCACCCATTGAGCTTTTATTGCTTCCCCCTTCAAAGTGTGGTAGCAGAGGAAGATAAATCCACCATCTCCTTGACGCAACGGTGCACAGAAAACACACAGAAACAAGACGCCGCGTTCCGTTTGGAGCCTTGTGCAGATTTTGCTCGTGTTTTTTAAAAACGTCGTATCTGAGAAGATTACAAGGTTGAGGGTTTGAAGAGAGCCCAGCTGGTAGGGGATAATCTTCTAACAAACAAGTCTATAAAAACAAAATTGACATGGTTGACAAAAACAGCTCCCCGAACGATTAGGCTCTTCCGACTGAAACAGGAAAACATTACGTACAAGTCCGTTAGTTTTGATTTCGACTGTGCTGTCAGACAAAGACTCCAATCGGCCATTTTCCATAAAGCCAGCTAGCTTCTTATCAGGCGAACCCAGCAGCAGCCGAATGACGTAACCCCCGACCAACACACGGTCTTGGAGACAAATACGTCCCGTCGAAATAAATTGAACACATCAAAGCAATTTTATCGCTTCCAATTAGTGTTTTTCTATTTCCCAGAGCTCGATTTCAGAAGCCGCATCGGCTAACAAGCGGAATTCTAAGACGCCCACCGTCGTACTCGAGGTGCGGCAGATAAGACCGCATAAAGAAAACCCTCCAGTACGGAGAAAATGGAAGCTGTGAGCAGCAATTTTATTTATTTATTTAAGTATTCAACTACCGTTCATCAAGCGCAGGATATTTATTAAATTCTTTTAAATTCCGAGACCACGGAAAAAAATTAAACGGGGAAAACATCAAGCTTTATAGTCTCCCGTACGAGGTACGGAAAAAAATCTGAGCAGAAAAATAGGCTTCGTACAATAAGGAAATGCTTAAAAAAGTAAAAGTAAAAGTAAATCGAAATAACTAAAAAGGCACAATGGCCATATTCTTGCAGAGGCTCGCCAGAAGAGCTTAGCTGAAATCTCACTCTCTCACACGCGCACACACACACACACACAGAAGAAGTCTTTGATGTTTCCTCATGAGCGTGTGTACTGCAGCTGTGTGAGTCACCCACACTCCATCCAAGATCCATAGAGGCTACACAGTGGCAGCCATAGTGGCAGGAGCGATGCAACTGCAACTCTGTGCCACACAAACAACGTAGCGGGGCTCGATTGTGGATGGAGAAAGGGGGCTGGAGGCAGAGGCACGGGTAGTGCCGTCCGGCCCAGAATGAATTAATAAAAAGAAGAAAAAAAAGAAGAAGAAGAAGAAGCCGTGGAAGAAAACCTCAAACAACTGGCTGTGCTCCAGACGGACTGAACCTTCTCTTGATCATTATGTCTAGCCTTCAGGTGTCTGGCCGACTGTAGGTGGTAGTTAGGTTGAGGGCCTGGGAGAGGAGGGGTGGGGTGTGGGGGGGGGATGCAGATAACTCAACAGCCAGACAAAGAGAATAAGAGGGCTGCCTACAAACCGCCGGCATCAAGGAAAGAAGGGTGGGAGGCAAGGGAGGGAGTAACGAGAAGAAGAAAAAAAAAACGAAGGGTTATAAAAATTTCATTAGACAATCCCTTGCTGAAGTGACTTTCTGTGTCGCTTTCCGTTTTTGTTTTTTCAGCTCCCCTCCCTTCTCGCTTCTCCAGAGCGCCGCCTCACTCAGAGAATGGGGCAGACAGACTTTATAGGTCCTAATTAAAGCCATCTGAAGCCTTTCAAAACATCAAATGGCACCGGCCGCCACTCGTTCCCTCTGATTGAGGGCAAAATCAGCAAAATCAGAGGTCACAGGTTGCTTCAGCTCCAAAATGTACGAACATTTCACTCCCCCCTTTTTCCTCCTCTGACCCCTCTGTCGGCCGATTTCCAATCAATAAAAGGATTAGACGAAAGACACGACCACAATCGATTGTCTGTCAAATTCACTGCAATTTAACATGTTTGGAAAAGCATTTACCAAAAACACATTTTTTATTTTTTTTGGGGGGGTATCTGAAAGCATTGAACAATGTGGCAGCATGAGGGATGTCACAAATGGTATTGAAGATCCACCCTCATCTCAGCCTGGTCGGGTTGGATTGAAGTGCAGCCCTGTTTTTAGTGCGTTTCAAGTACCCATTCCCCCCCCCCCCCCTCTCCCCCAGCCAGCCCTCCTACCCCCTCCTAATTGTGCTCGTTGAGCCGTGTGGACCGGTAGAGCTGCCTGACTGGGGTCAACGGGTTTGCAGTGTGCTTTTTTTCTCTTTTTTTTTAAATCTATATTTCATGGTATGGCGCTGCGCGCGCAGACGCACACGCGGAGGTCGTTTCACTGAGGCGCGCGAGGAATGTCGACCGGACCAAATGAAAGTCCGGTCATGAACTGCGCGAAGTCAAATTTTGTGAAACGACGAAAGACTATGAACGTGTGTTTATAGTCGTGTGTTTAGTTCACATTTGAATGAAGGCTTTTGTAGAGAAAGAAAGGAAAAAAAAGGACACGAAGCCCTCGGAAAGTCATACACGCAGTCATGCATGTAAAACTGAAGTCAACTAAAATAGGACTAGATGTGTAGAACTTATACTTAACGGGAACAATACGTGATCTATTAAAGGAGATACAAGAAAATACCAAAATCGTGCTACTTACGATTCATTTCTATAACTTCGGGGCGTCATTGTCTCGGATCTGCGGCTCTTCGGTCATTGGGGCGCGGAGGAGAAAAAAAAAAAAGTCTGTCCCTCCGGCGGAAGTGGACCGATTGCCGAGGACGGGATGCGCCGCTTCACGGGACGACAGCTCACGTTCGCGTTTAGAAGGACACCTTCGTTCGTTGTGGCGAGCGCGGGCGGACGTCCGACTCCGCCGGTGTCAAGTCTTCAGTGATGCTCGGCACTCGCCGGGATCGAGAGCTGAGAGGAGAGCGAGCGCAACAGAAAGGCGTCACGTGAGCGGTGGAGAGGTGCGCTATTGGCCAATCGGGCAGGAGGATAATGAGGCTGCCGTGACGCCATTGGCCTAGAGTGGGAGGGCGGGCGCCTCCTCACTTGCCCGTGCGCAAGAATGTGAGTGCGGCTCACTGTGCATAATTTTAATAGCCCGAGGTGATGAGGGGGGGGTAACAAATTGTTCCAAAGATCTTCTTTTTTTTGTGTGACATCTACGAGTTACACAGAGGGCAGCGTTGGGGGGAATGCACGCATTCTGTCTCTTTAATCAAGAGGAATGAATGGAAATGTCTGGTGGGTCTACATTACCGTCAACTTGGAAGATCATTCTAAATGAAGCATCATGTGAGCTGAAAGTTTTTGGCATTATGATGACAAGAAATAAGATGACAACAGCAAAAAAGAAAGTAACATGTAACACAATACAGCGTAGGAACAGTAACTGTGTCCATCAAGGGGGCGGTTTGATAATACAACCATGTCATTCAGTTGACCTTCATCCTTAATGCAATTCATATTGAAGACTTTTTTTCTGTAATTTTGTATTCAACCAATAACACGGTTTTACGCCGCTAATACAGGTGGAAAATTGTACTTATTAAAGCAACAATCATGGCTCAAATATAAGGAATAACGCCATTTTTAACAGCTTACGACAAAAAATAAGTGGAAATACAGAAGAAAGAAGTTAATGCTCTACAAAACAATGACACTAATGCATTCACCTTCTATTTTCTGAAATGCTTTTATTTTACCTATCCCTGGTGCCTCACAGTTATTGGTGCTAACCTTTACAATTAATTCTGACCCGTTCCAAAGCTAATTCATTGTTTGGAAGAAGAGCTGTAGTTAAACCAACTAAGGTATTGTGTTAGGATCTAAGATTCCTTAATTGGAGGGTGCTTGGTATGTTGTATATATTCATGTTGTTCTATCATATTTATTTGTTGATTTTCTGCAAACACACATACGAAAATACTCCCCTCTCTGGTTCTGCAGAGTGTGCAGGCAGAGGGACTCAAGGTTCTGTATGGGTGGGAAATAGAGCGCATGTAATCTAGTGCGCGCATCTTCCTCGGCTCCGGCTGCGGCATTAAATCAATATTCCGCAAAGCTTTCTCTTGTTTTCCACATTCACTTGACTGCTGCCGTGATGCGCCGCGAGGGTCGAGCAGCCGCTCCCTGATTTTTGTGGCACTTGCCCCCCTTCCCTCTTCGTCGGCGTTGTCCTCCTCCTCCTCCTCCTCCTCCTTCACTTCACTTCACGGCAGACGCCCTCATTTGGATGGCTCCAAGGCGATGCGCCTATTCCATTTGTCTCATGCGTTAACAGGAGGCGGCAGGAATAAGGCACCGCGTTATCTCGACACAAAACATTATCTCCGCCCGGCCTCCAACACCGTGAAACAATGATTATTAACTGCTTGAGGAGCATGTTCGGGGGGTTTTGAAGCCTCTTGCTACACTTGAGGAACATGAAATATATTTCACAGCACACCCCGTGTTTTGAATTTTTGACTCAAGATCATGATTCCTCTTTTCTTGCCCTTTTGTGAGTACTTTCAGGATGGCCTGTCTCCCTGGGGGAGTATGGCTAACAGCATTATGGCTGGGGCGTAGTGTCACGGTAGCATCTTCTTTTTTTACCAAGAAACAACCTGAGACTTCCTTTTCAAGATTTAAAAGCCTGCCGTGTGGCATCATCCCGTAAGATACTGGTTGTGCATTCGTGTTCACTCACACCCCATCCCTGTGAAAGCAAAATCCTGCCTCTGCAAAATGGGTCACACACTGCAGTCACTTTATCTCAGCAAATGTATTGTGCCTGCGTGAGTGTGTGAGTTGAAGACATGCGCATATGTGATTAAACATCAAAGGCAAGACTCGAGTATTAGCCCATTGGTGTCTTCGCTGAAACAGGACTAAAGCAAGTCGAACGTTCTATATTTTGGTGGGGGTGGTAAGCCTGTGTGAATAGTTGGCCCTAACGAGACAAAATGTGAGTCTTTCTTTGATGCATATTAACAGCCAAGAGGAAGAGGCTCTCACTCTAAAATGAACTCCGGTAGCGTCATTTTTATTCCAACTGCAGTGCCCTGCACGCCTCATACGTCAGCGATTTCTGCAAGCAGTTGAACGCATAGGCTTTTGCTCCGAACCCACAACATCCATCCGCCCCTTAGGTTGTGAGCTAATAGGTAGAAACAGACAAACACACTCGCATTTATCCTCCGTGGAGTGAATTTGAGCAGCTGGGTTCAAAGCCATGTCAGTCAAAAAAGGGAAGACAGGCCTGTGCCGATGTCTTATGGACCCATCACTGTGCAAGATAATCTGCGGCGCGTTCCGGCTCTATATTTAGACCAATGTTTTGTGAACACTTAGCATAATTCGCTGAGACGAAAGGGGCTTTTCGGAGCTGTTAACCTCATCTCTTTAAAACTCATTTGGAGTTTTTCAGCTGCGCATTCCAAAAACACCTGTTCTTGCTTAGTCCTGTGAAATACACTGCATTGCAACGGGGAAATAGTTTGTTATGAATGGAAAGAAGGGCGCAGCGTGAATGTGGGAGCGTGCTGTGGATGGTCGGCTGATAAGAGAGATTTAGCTTTATCTGAAATCAATCAAAAATGGCCTCCATTGTCGTCATTACGCTCATCACCGTATGAAGTCAAAGAAAGAAAATATTCCTGGAATAACACCACACCTGGTAATACCAATTGATTACTACCCAGGGAGTACAGACGGCTTAAGTCCACGTGTAAATGCTCCGAGTGCTCTGATCTGGTGGAGGTGGGCCAGAGGGAGTTGGTCGGACTGAAAGCCTTTACCTCCATCTGCTGCACAAACACCCACATTTGGTCAAAAACACACAGGCAAGATGGACTGTGTGGTTTGAAAAGCATGTCCCTTTAGCATTAAACGCTATACGCTTTGGCCACAGTAGCACGCCACACTGGGGGCCTGCGTGGCATCTGCCTCCCAGGTCCTGGAGCCAAGGCGCGGGGCCGAGGGAGGGGCCTGGGGCTGAGATAAGCACTTCCTCCCCTGGTCACTGCCCGCCGTGGGGACCGGACAGGCCTGGAGCCTCAGCTGAGCACCGCTGATAATATCCACATGAGTGTACATGTGTGTGTGTGTGTGTGTGTGTGTGTGTGTGTGTGGTTGGTTGGATGCAGGGGCATGTTGAGAGGAAAAGCCTTGTTTTAGAGGATGTGTGTGTGTGTGTGTGTGTGTGTGTGTGTGTGTGTGTGTGTGTGTGTGTGTGTGTGTGTGTGTGTGTGTGTGTGTGTGTGTAGGGGGGGGTGGATTGAATGAGATCTCGCAGGGATGCGCACACTTGCATGTTTCGTGCAAATAGTCAAAAATCTGAGTTAACACTAAAAAAAATTCTGTCTCTGAAGTATTTACGGTTTAGCACTTTTGATGCCAAATGTTCAGAGAAGCGTGTACGGATACGTGTGCTCATGAGAAATGCCTTCGCTCTTAGGAAACACAAGTTGGTGTAAGCTGCAGTTGCTGATGAAGGCACAACATTTTTTTTAATTCTGCAGAAAATGTCACACTTAACTAATTGAATCTTGAAGTGAAATCTAACGTCTCAATTCCTCTTGAAATTATTATTCATATTATCTAACTCTGTTAAAACATGATCTGAACAGACTCACATTATGCTATTTAACTTATTTCCTAATTGCATTTTTCACAAAAACCTATACAGCAAAGAGATTTAGTTATCCAATTAGCAGATTGTCCTACTTCTTTTGAAAATATTTTGGAGACAAAGCATGAAAGCCCTGATTGGAAGGGAGAGACAATAATGTAATAAGTGCAGTACATTAAACTCACTGCATTTGACAACGACATGTTATAATCTGCTTTCACAATGCTGCTCATTCTATTTTTGTATTCATTGTATTTTGTTCCGAACCCTCATTTATGGTGTGAGATTAATTGCTGTGCCGCTAACAGCAACTCAAACACTTCTTGTTCACTCGCTCTAATTCATTGTTTGTTTAACATGAGTTGGATCTGGTCCTTTGTAGAATGACAGAAAATGATCCCTCTTTGTTCAGCAGCACTGACCTTATCATTTTAACTTGTCATATTGGAATACTCAATTACTCATCATGTTAGAAGTTGGCCCACGTAACATGTCCGTAAGGCAAATTAAATTAATTCTGGGCTACTTTTGGTCGTGGTGGATTTTTCAAATAACATTGTATGACGAAAAGGTCTGCTCGATGACAGGAACACTAATTGGTGAAATTATGTTTTTGAGATAGGTGGGGTGATTCTTTGTATCAAAATATAATAATTATGATATTGCCTCTTGATGAGGACCAAGAGGTGGTATTTTAGGGGGTATAAAGGTGGTATTAACAACCAGTTTTTTGAGACCTAGACATAAAGTCCAGTTCTTACATCAAGTGAAATGGCCCCATATTACATTTTGTGATTCTGTTATCAAAGCTGGGGGTCCAATAGGTTTAATCACAGTGTCCTGGGCCCTGACAAACGTTTTTATATAACTCGGCGTATTGAATAAAAAATGGTGAACACGGTGTAACATTCTGTGGCTTGTCGTACGTGTAACCCTTGGAGTTATACCATGTGTTTTGACAGAGGGAGGGAGAAGGACCGAGCGAGAGAGAGAGAGACATGGACATTGACAGAGAAATATCCAGAGATCCAGGTCAGCTGTGAGGCCTCAGCTGGAGTGGAGGGCTACACCTGTCAGCGCCCAGGGGCCTCTCTCTCTTTTTTTTTTTTTGTTCCCTGTGTCGTCTTTCTGTCCAGCTGGACGTGCAAGAGCCTCTCAACCCCCCCTCCCCCCCCCCCCCCCCCCCCAACTAACCTCCACCTCCCGGATCCAGGCCAGTTCAGCCCAGCCATGCGTGGCCATCTCTGGGAATTCACTCCGGATCCTTCCTGTTCAGTGCATCCACTCCTCTCTCTCTCTCCCTCTGTCTCTCTGTCACCCCATCCCCCCACCGCCACCATCTTCATGTCTTCCTCTTAGTTATCCATCCCGTTAACCATCTCTCTTTTCTCACGCTATTACAAAAAAAAAAAATTCTCCCAGTTTTTATATTGTTTTAATATCCAAATTATGATCATCAGGAATTGAGCAAACCCGAATTAATCCCAATTGAGTAATAACTTAAAACAATGATTCAAATCATGTTAAAAATGACTGAAATGACTACGTTCACGTCCCTGAACATAACTAATTCTGATTTCTGTCTTGTGGCTTGACCAAGATCTGATTTATAGTGCAAGGGAAACGTGTAATGAGGAAAACAACTTGCTCTTTTGTGATCACACGCAGCATACTTTGTAAGGAAAAGAGGAAAAAGAATAAAAGTTGTCCTTTTCATTCTAAAGTTTCAACAGGAACCACTGACAGGTGCACAACACACTCCCACCGCTCCTGATTCCTGCTGTGCATCTCAAGAGATCCCCTCAACAAAGTCTGCCGAGACATCAGCTAGAAACATTAAAATGTTACGAGTAACCTATTTATTACGATATTTTGGCTGCAACCTGTAAATCCACATAGTGTTTATTCTGTTGAATTATTACACTTTAGGACTACTACCGTTATAACTTAGTTTGATGTGTCAGCTGCAAATGAGGGAAAAGACGCTTTATCTACGGCATATACTGCAGTTGCAAATTCCACAAAACAGTACATTCAGTTTCCCGATACAGCCACAGTATGAAGAGTTGTCACATGTAAGCCGGTTTGGTTTCAGGGGATTGAGCAGCAGCAAAAAAAACAATATTATTCAAAGAGCTAATGATAATTACTGTCGCTTTACCATTAATATCTATGCATAACTCAGAATGCATTACTATGGCTTTACCACCCATTTAATGTATTTACTTAAATATGGCAATCGTGTTATTAAACCTAACATTGGCCATTTTGAAAAATGAATTAGACTTTTATTACAATCCATCCAAATGGAGAATGTTTCATGTGCATAATTACAGGTGTTTCTCCTCATACAATATTGGTTTATTAATTGTATTATTCAGTTTTACAGAGGAAGCACAGGTGTAACATCACATATGTGTGTATTGTCACTTTTGGATTGGACATTCCATTAAAGTCTTTACAGAGTCCAGAAAGTCCTGCTATGAACATAAATGTACTAAACAAGTGTGTCCTCTGTCCCTCCTTGCAGCCACAACATCTGCTGTTAACTTTGGCAACTCCGTACTAACGCCCACTTTGACTGCCAGGAACCTCGGCGTGACACTCGACAGCCAACCCTGACTCCCAACATCACTGCGACAACACGATCCTGTGGATACTCGCTCTACAACATCAGGAGAATACGTCCCCTTCTCACTCAGAAGGCAGCGCAGGTGCTGATCCAGGCTCTTGTCATTTCCCGCCTGGACTACTGCAACTCCCTCCTGGCAGGTCTCCCCGTTCCCGCCATTCGACCTCTGCAGCTCATCCAGAATGCAGCAGCTCGACTGCCCGCATCCACCTCAAAACATTGGTGCTCACGTACCATGCTGTGAATGGATCGGGTCCAGCTTACATCCAGGACATGGTCAAACCCTACATCCCGACCCGTACTCTCCGCTCTGCACCTGCTAAACTGCTCGTTCCTCCCTCGCTGATAAAGATAGATTTAGATTTAGATATCTGGACTAGTTTATGCCAGAGACGTGTTTGTGAAAATCTACCATTTAACCTTAGTGAATCTCCGTTTTTGGAGATGGAGCTATGGTTGGAATAACAGCGAGCTTATTCCACTACTGCACTCAAACCACATCCTATCCCGCACGCCGGCTACTGAATTATTCATCTATTTGTACCTGTGAGGCGAGCAGGCCCTGTTAAGGGCCGCCCCAGTATGATCTATAATTAAATATAATACTACATGAAAGTGCATAAGACATGAGACTAGGGTTAGGACGAGTCACTCAGACTTCCTTCCAGTTCAACCCTAGATCCACTTTGTATGGGACTCAAGTGCCGACTGCAGCCGTTCTTTTTTATTTTGGAGTATTTATTTAACCATTTTTTTTAGCCTTGTGCACACTTGCCTGTTTTCTTTCCCCTCCTTTGCATGGCTGCATGTGGTCCTGAATGTTTGCTATCAGTAGTTGACATTTGGAGGGCAATGAGATTATGTCATGTTTGATTACGGGTTTATTGTCTCAATGTTCTCTAAGCACATAGTATTACATTAAATGGGGCCCCTGTGTCTTGCAGTGTGTTTGCTGTGTTCCCCCTTGCAGCTCAATCAGAAAGCCTTTTAAAGCTTGCAGTCAGGAATAATCCTGCTGCACAATATGACCATAACACAACTGTTTACAGGCTCTCTAAATTGACCAATTGGGATACATAAAACCTAGCATCCATGTATTGTTCCCAGTAAGATTCCAACTCTCCCACTGGAACACAAACATTTGCCTCAGCCACAACACACAGACATTTATATGCTTCCCATAGTTTAAGTAGAACGACTGGTTTTCAGATCGTCTTTGAATCAATGCTAAAATCACGTGAGTAGAAAAAGCGGCAGACATTTGGTATAGAAAACAGCAACGACTGTAGGCCTTTTTATTGCGCACACACACACACACACACACACACACACACACACACACACACACACACACACACACACACACACACAAAAACACACGCAGACCCAGTGGCATCCTCTGATCTGTCCAAATGTGAACGGTAATATCTCCACCTTGCAGGCGCTGCAGTGAGGAAAGGCTTAGCGGCTCGCTCACTTTCTTCCTTCACTGGCTGTGAAGTGCAGTCTGAGGTGTCCGTTTTTTTTTGTTGTTACACCCCCCAACCCACTCTCCCTCTTTCACACTCTCTCTCTCTCTCTCTCTCTCTCTCTCTCTCTCTGCCTTTTCACAGCGAGTACATCTCCATACTGGTTAAGTCTGTGGTTTACAGGGAACACTGTGAGCGGCCGATAAGAAGCTGAAAAGCAGATGTATACATTCCGGATGCAGCGACAGACACACAGTCAGAGGGACGGTAAACAGATCACATACATTATGTTTCTGGGATTTGCATTTGGCAAATGATACAGAGGTGTTGGGCGTGGGGTGTTTGTAAAAGGCAGGGTAACTTGTCTGTTTTAACCCTAAAAGTGTTAGCGAGGAATCACCCTTGCAATACAAACAAGGTGCCGTGCCAATACTCATTTTGGGCCCAGAAATATTGCATTGACCTTTCTAACACTGCAGGTGCCAAAATAATTATAGAAAGAATTTCCATCAACAGGCAATATAAATAGAGTATTTATTCCCTCCAGCCGTGTGCCGGGAGTATTTAGAGAGATGAACCCCGCAAATAAGCTTTTACCTCTTCCCCTTTATAAGAGCAAGCAATTAATCTGGTTTGCTGACACCATGAATACCAATACAACAGTACCTCTTCTTTCCCTGCAAGACCCTTCGACACACACACACACACACCCATCCCACCCAAACATCCCACCCTAACCCCCCCGCACCCCCGCCCCCTCTTTTTATATATAAAGTTGCCGGCGGTTACCATGGCTACCCCATGGGTCCATAAATCCGAGCGCAGAGGGACTACTCATTCCTTGAAAATGATCAGGAGGATTCTTTAGGGGATGAAATATTTGGATGAAAGGAGGTAGAGGGGATAGAGTGAGCGAGGCAGGGGAGAAGCCCGTCCCTCTCCTCCACCTCGTGCCCCGCTGAAGCAGATGGCGCTGAATGGCTCTGCAGTGCCACCGCTCGCCTTTTGAGGACTGCTGCCATAAGGAGGTGGGTTAGTAGGAGATTTGGGGTGACAGTGTTTGGCATGGGCTACAAAGCGAAGACGTTGGGAGGGGGAAAGCACTCGGTGCCCTGGGCTGACACAAAGGTAAGCTCCTGTTATGTCCCCGTCTCTGTGATTTAGAGGCCATGTGGTGCAAGAAGTAGAAAGCAAAGGTGGCTTTACCGCTCTGGGTTTCCACGCCACGTCGCGTCACATTTTAGTTTTGTTGATAAAACACATCCATGGTTATGTCATCCACAGATCAAAGACCAAAGTTCTACTCCTGACTGTAATCTTCTGCATAACTCCAAAATGCATTTTGATGAACTACTACTTTACAGTTTAGCTCAACTCTCAAACTGCAGAGTTGCATTTAGTTTTTGATGCATTTATGCATCTAAAAAGTCAAAAATGTATGCCATGATTGTCAAGACAAGCACAAGATTCTACTGTATATTAAGTTACACTGCATCATATTGTATAAGGTACATATTGTGTGCATCGCCACCTCCACTGTCGTATTAATTACTCCCATGGTGAACAAGCACAGTTCTATAATCTTACTTTAAACAAACCTTCTGACAAAGTTAAAAACATATCTTGAGACCGACCTGACCAATTACATCTTTTCTGAAATCTTGTGCCAGGAAGTGACAGGCCAGGCTCAGTGAGAACATTGTGTACAGGCGGAGGTGGTACACAGTGGAGGGATTGCAGGTTGGATTGAGGGGAATGTTGGGGGGGGGTCACTGACTGACTACTCCTGCACACATCCTGACACGCTGTATCCATCCATCTTTCCCTCCCTCTGGCTGTCACATGCAAACACTTGTGCATAACTCACCGTCCCACGTGCATGAATCCATCTGCATTAGCGGCATAATCATTCTAAAAAACATTAAAGACACACACATGTAGCACAAGCACACATACAGACTGGCTTTCCAGCACGCACACTATGCTCCAGTACAGCCTGAAACACACACACACACACGCACACAAATTAACCCACAAACTCTCTAGCCCCTCTCAAACTGTGGCCTGGAAGAATGGAGCCAGTGTGCAGCGAGGCAGCCAGCAGACAAGGGAAGGGCCGTGGTTTTGCGGGGGCATGTGGGTAGGAGTGTGTGTGTGTGTGTGTGTGTGTGTGTGTGTGTGTGCGAGAGTGTGAGTTTGTTTTGGGTGCAGAGGGAAAATGGGACTATATTTTGGGAGGGGTCCTCGTCTTTACGTCTAAGATGCATTTAAGTAAAGGCACAAACAGAATGTGAGATATTCAGGGAGTTATATTATGACAAACTGGGAGATCTGGTTTCATCTACAGTACAAAGCTCTTGAAGGATGTGACAGTTGATCCTAACAGGCCAGTTTGGGAATAAATTATTAAAGTCATGGATTTTTCCATTGCTAAATATAGCTGTTTGTCTAAAAGCAGCCGTCAAGCAAAACAAAAGGGTTTTAAAGAAATAGTCAATGGAAAATTAAAATGATGTCATCTGCTGCATTGTTTTCTCTGTCGGCTAAAACTTCATTGAGTTTCATAGAACCATCACAATTACTGAATTCTGGACACATAAGTTTTTACAGAACTATCTCTCCAGATACCAATTCTTAGAAATTGTTTTCTTCTTTAAAAGCTGTAAAAAAAGGCTTGCCTGTTGTGGGGAAACAAAAAAAGTAACTCGGAATTCTACAAACTTGACGTGATTTCCTTTTTGGTGAACTACTGTATGACTTTAAAATCTTTTCCTCAATGCTCTAATTTTTGAAGGTATAATAGACAACCTCTTAACCTGGCACAGTTTTACCTCTACTCCAACGTTTAAGTGAGATTATAAAAGTAAATCTGACTCCACTGTGGCAGTGTTTCTTTCAACTTTTAAGCCACGCATTTCGTTGAAACTCTTATTGGAAGCTGCTTACACTAAGTGAGCAGGTAAGATGTCAATGCATTTTGCTCAAGGACACTTAAGTAGTTTCTCTCTCACAAGACCAAAAATGATATTTGCTATATCTGTTATATCTCGCACCATTGTTTCCATTCAGTCACACTGTTTGTTAATATAGATAGAATTATTAAGCATTGAATGCTGTAATATATCCCTACCTCTCCAAAAATAAAGTGTCACTTAATCACAAAACCAGTTTAGTGCAATTTGCTGTCCTTTCTAGATTGTATCTTTTAGTCATCTGCATTCATCTAAATTGTACCGCATTGGATTTTTCACAATAAAGGTATATATTTCAGATGCTTTCAGTGCAGTGCAAAAACTTCAAATGAAACCAAGAGAGAAAACCACCAAACTGCAGGTGTGCTCTAAACAACAGCTGTGTTGCACAACATTTATGTGACGGATGGATATTTTTTGGGCTGAAATTCCATTTCATCATCATCAACGTTCAGTTTCATTACCAGAGTGATACTTAGCGAGAAAGAAGTGACACACTCAATGTTTGTAGAAGGCAGTTGTTTCCTCAACGAGAGGTGCCAGTACAGTCTGCGGGGGAAAATTCTGGGTCAACCAATAAACCCGGATTTTCCTACTCAAACCAGCCACCTTTTCTTTTCCAAACGTTTGTACCTCTCCAACCTCTCTCCAATATGCCACCAGAACCGTTTGTAGTATTAAAGGATTTGACTGAACCTTTCAGCTGGGTCTTTGTATTACTTTAAAGGGAGGAAAGTCATATTTTGAATAACGTTTATCCAGAGTTTAATGCTATTCACTGTTGTCAATGTGCCATTGACACTAAAAGAATGTTCACTGACAGATGTTAAGTCAGAGACTCGATACCGCATGTGTTTTCAGACTTTTAAATATTACACCTTCGTTAAAGATGAACATGCACTGCTGCTTTCAATTACCCTTCCATTATGCCTCATCGTTTCCCTCCCTGCCCTCTCTCTTCTTTCTATTCACTCATCATTTTCTTTTCAGAGAAGCAGATGTGAATGAGTCTGCATGTGTGCATGCAGGTTTGTGGTTTAAAGTGTGTGTGTGTGTTTGATAGAGAGAGCAAGAAAAGGGGAAGTTTGCCCACAGAGCCTGGCCTCCAGTCTCCAACATGGCCACCGAAAATCAGTAGGAGAAGGAGCTAAGTTAATTGCACAGGCGTTTATGAAGGAAAAGGCCTTGATTTACTCCAAAGCGTTACATCTCCCCGTGGGGTTGGAGTGGACCAAGGAAGAGGGGGGATGAGGGGGTATGGTGGCGGTGGGGAGTCACCGGCATATAAGATAAACTGATAACTAGATTGTGGACAGATATGCATGTATAGCCCAGGGCATAATTATTTAAACTCAGGATCGGTTCAGTTAAATTTTAACTGAAGTAAAATAAAGTAGCACAAAAAATATGTCAAAATTAGCATATATCTGATACCTCCTGTACTATCTGATCATGTAGATGATGTACAATAAACTAGGAATGTAAGATGCAGTCATCTGACCTTCAAGCCTCCCGGTTTGCACCTTAACAGAGGAATGAGACTCCAACACACTAGAGGCCGACAGCATTGTAATTCCTCAGAGGCCCGATCATGGTTTGGTATTTTAACTATTTTAGACTTTTATATTTAATAGGGAAATATTAGATATGTTCCCCTAGCGAACCCTGATACAACAGAAGGGTAAACACTGGTTATATTTAAACCTGTATCAGTATTTCATTTCAATGTTTAATGCTCTTGACTATACTCTTCATGTGGGTTTTGCAAATTGTGTTTTTTAGGTTTTTATCATCCACCCGGACATCCTATTCAAATGATTTTGCATATTCACAGGATAACATTCCCATATCCCCAGAGAACAAGCCCGGATCGGAAGTTAAGCTAGCCGATACGTATGCAACACTTGATCATGGAGACGCCCCTTTTCTGCAGACTGGTGCAACACGGTGGGCGTGAAAAAGAAAAGCCCTGGCTGTTCTACTGCTAGTTCAATGACACCACCAGATTGACACTGCTGAAACAACCTGTTTACACAGGATATAATATCTGGACATGATCGCATTGAATTATCTGCAGGACCAGGGGGATAAAGTAAAATAAATAAAACAAACATGTATCTGAAATTCGGCTACGCATAGTGCACATCGGTCTTAGCGAATTAGTGGCGGCGACTTTGGCTAAGGACACGCTGCTAACCTGACCTCCGCAACAGAAGCCGCAGCAAAGCAGTTAGAAAAGTTCCCATGCCGTCTGAACATCTGTTTGATCCACAAAGAGACAGATTAGCTCTCAACCCCACTTCTCTCCTCTCCTCCACATTTAGCAGCGCCAGCCAGCGTCTGGCTCATCAGCCTCTTTCCTGTGCGATGATGCTATCAAGGTTTCGACTGGCTTTTTGGCAGCTGTGTGCTGCTTACAGCCCTTACGCACGGACACAGCGAACAAGGAGGTGGAAGTGGCAGGAAACCGTTGAAGCCATGGTTTTGAATATAGGCCTCTGTGGCTGGTGCCGGGAAATATTCGTTACAGAAGGTTAGAGAAGCTGTAGTCATGACATAGGGAGAGGAGCTGGGGGAACAAGAAGGCATCGGATAGGCAGTGCATTTAAAGAAAGAAGAGTAAAACGGTGACAGTGAAAGCAATGTTTTTACCACTCGTTTTACTTTTGTTTTCTCGTGGTTTTTACTGGTTAAATGTTGAATTCCGTGAATGGAATTAAAATGTCACCTTACACTATAGTCACGCAATAATCACTACACACACAGACACAATAGAGCGAGAGAGAACTTTGAAGTTGCTCACCTAATTTATTTATCTTATGGAAATGATAAAAAAAAGTATTAGGATTTGTTGTTGTTGACTACACATTGCTAATGCTGCAAGTCATGTGTTTCATTATACTGATCAGGCACAAAACAATGAAACATTAAGATATAAAAATATATATACATATATATATATATATCATACATCCTATCATACACAGTATTTGTGCAGACTTGTAAGTCTTGATTTCTAATTCACTATCGGTCTCAAGCAAGGAAATGCCTCATTAATTTAAGATCCATTGGAGCAAAAACATACAAAGACCTACTTTTGTTGTCAACGCTTAAAACAACTTCCTCATTAATCAGTAATTAAACCCAGAAATTGTTCAAAAAGGGGGGCTGATAATTTCAGTTTCCATCAAAAAAAACCTCACCAGCAACCCAAAACATGAAATCCTGCAAACGGGGCAATTTATTTTAGAAAGTAACACATTTTCAAGTCTATTGTTCAACATTAAAACAAATGGAATGAATTATTATATTATCAAAGCTAGGCCTTATATCTGCAATCATTTCATGTTTTCTCATTACGTGGAATCAATATTATTAGAGAAGTTGTAAGTTTGTTGACACGTGGATTTCTCTTTTTGGTCTTCAAATGCCTCTTTAATGCAGCGCTGTGGCCTCAATAGAGAAATGTGCCATCCTGCCTCCTCTGTTAAGCACTTCTTGTTCTCAGGTGCTTCAATCCCTTTAGTTTTACTCCAGAGGGGATTTGAACCGCATGAATATGGATGTGACGATGATGCGCAAGATGATGAAGGTAGTTTGGTCTTCCTTCAGATAAGCGCTAATCGCATTTGGGGGCCGTGGCGGCAGAGCTAGGTGTAAACTTGGCCAACGGCATTACGAGGATGATGGCGGGGGGGCGGACTAGAATGAACGAAGGTGCTTTTGTGTGAGTGTGTAGATGGGCTGGTGCAGCCACGGAACATTCAGAAAGAAAGCAGTGGGTGTGTGGAGGTTGTTATCCGAGCACACGTAATCCCAAACTAGGGATTGATCTCTCGACTCCTCCCTTCTCATCCCTTCTCCTTCTCTCCTCTTCGTCCCTTCAACATTCCTCCTCTACCTCCTCATCCCTTAGTTTTGTGGTTCCTTTGAATGTCGCTTAGTGCTGACGAGGCAGTGGGATGAGGGGTTATAATTAGCCCAGATATCCGTATTCATATTCAAATTTCACATCTAATCTCCCTATTTATTTCTAACAAGGAAATGGGATTGGCTTGTCCATTCCCATCCAAAGATGTGATGATTTGAATCACCTAGCAACAGAGGAAATCACATTAAATGTGTGATTAGACTGTTGGTGCTGTGGGTTCCACATTGGGGAAGGAACTTTTTGCCCTGTTGCACTCTTGGTTCTGCAAACTAATTAAAATATTCTGTCTTTTAAAGGCTTTATTTCACTTTCACACATCACACCCCGCATTAGTATTATAATTAGATCTAAAACTTTTTATTTCAAGTTGTCCCTTTTTTGAAGCCAGGCTCCTGAACCTTGCACTATAGTTGCTGGTTAAGTTTGGACCTAAATTGTTGATCTCGTTACTCTCAAACAGAAATAGTAGCTTCAGCTATTGTGTATTTATTTCCATTTCCTTCCAAAGCACAAGCAAAACATACTCTTCCAATTTCCCTTCAAATGTGAAGTGAAGTGAATGGCAGGTCATTTACTACCAGCACTGTGTTTTCTCCTCACATAACAAAAGGAATGGAGGTTTCTCTTTTGTCAGCTTTGATGATGTAAATGACTAAACTGGCAGAAACTGGTCATCCTGGTTATGAAAGCATTTCTGTCAATTTGAGTTTGAATCTAAACGCCGGGTCACACTAATAATAACCCTGTGCCAGTTTCCCCTTTGTTGTAAGTCTATTGATAAATAAAATGTAAATATGTCTATGAGGAATTAAATGAGCATGTAAGAGAACGCAAAGAAAGCCCTCAATTTACAATCTTGGACAGCTTGGATTATTTTGTCCCAATGTGAGCTATTAACCAACAAATAGATTACAATGTTTTTCAATCCAACAACATGATCACAAACATCTCCCAATCCCTGGTTTATCTCCTCCCTTAACAATCTACCATATTCCATGCTGATATCCGGCCTATTTTATTCAGCACCAAGCTGACTCCTCTTTGAGGCAGTGGTTGTGTCACATGGATGCAGTGAAGCTTGCTTGATGTGTATATGTATATAAAAAAATAAAAAAAACGCTAAGCTCCACTCACCTCGGGGTGTGTGGTGCATCCACGGCGTATGGCCTACATGCTCGCTCAAGCATAAACCAATGTAGCCTTTGCCTTCCTGGCGCTGCAACTCGAGAGTTTGTCATTTATCTTAGATGGGGTTTTATAATGTGATGGAAGAAAAGTTTTCTGACCGTGGGTCACGCAGTGGGTATCTCTGCAGATGTGAAAGCATCACATGTAGTAGAGTTAACAACTGCTTTGTGAATTTTCGATTCAACACCCCCAAAAGAGGCTCTTAAGTAGAGCAATGTTGGATGCTTCGTTTAAAGGGAGCTGTGTTAAGAGTGTTATTTAATGAAAAAGGAAGTGGGGGGAACATATGGGAGAGAGGGGTGGATCTCTTAAGGGATCACAACACATTTTCACAACACAAATTTTTATTTTGAGAGTAATGAAATACTGAATAAGCAGCACAAAATTAAAATGAACCCTCTTTGCAAATGACAACTCAAAATGATCATTATTTCTTATCATAAAATAAGTTTTTGCGTCATCTTTATTTTTTAACCGCCATTTTCTTTTCCGTTTTTATACTGTACCCAATTTCTGATCCGGCTGACAACATCAGATAATCCTGACACAATTCTGATGCAAAAACTCCACCCATGGATTCTCCCAAGTAGGTCACCAACATCCTCTAGGAATGATTTACAGATACTAATTGGCCAATGTGTGATGAAAGCATGACAGCATGTCAGTAGAGCCTAATGGGTGGAGAAGCTTTTCTGTAATCCTTCGGTAACATATTTATTTCCCATCCTCAGCCGGAGCAATGGAGCCTCACACCTGCTCAAGCAAAAGCAGCTTCATGTTAACTTCTCACATGCCAAAAGACAGAGACACTGCTATGATTCCCTCAACGGGATCTCATATATTCAGTTTGGCATGGCAAGACCAACACAGTTTGAGCAATTTTTGCTTGATCCGTATAGTCTGTCAAAGTGTTTATTCCTGTTTGAAGTGGCACGATGAGAACTCCAGAAAGCCATGTTTGCGGAGTTCTCATCATGCCACCTTTTGACATGTTGTGGGCCATGTTTGAAACGTCTTCACTCAGTGATTGACAGCAACGACATTTTACGGTTAGGAGGCATTTGTTCTGAGCGCTTTGTCTCAAGCTTGACCTATTACCGTGTCCCTCCCCCACGAAGTGTATGAACATTTGTCTTGATGTTTCATGTCATCTGTGGACTTTGAATTTATACGTTCTTTCTTCATGCCAATTCCTTTGACTGTCCATCACCGGAATAGGTCAGAAAAGACACTTTGGCTCGTCCAGGTCAAAGGTAGTTGGCGCCACAAAGTGATAAGGTCAGATGATTTTTGGTTGACCTCAGCTGTTGCCTACATTCCCAAACCATATATGTCACTTTTTCCAGTGTAAGCCAATAGGCAGTTTCTTTAGCGACTCAACCAGATGATGATGCACACAAGGGACGCAAGCATGCACCCCCTGCTAAACGGCCCTTACAAGAAGCCTACTTTCAGCCCCACATATAACTCCAGGCCGTTCTACATGCTACTACAACAAACAGTTGTTTAACCTCACTTATCATCAGTTTTTTACAGTGAATGTTGCTGAAATTAGTCTGCCTTGGTTTGAGATATAAATTGTATATATTTATCTATGGGATGACATTCAAAATTTTATCAGCCTAAGAGAGAGAAATTATTTTCTTATTTATAATAATAAAATGCTTTTAAAGCTTAAGCTGTGAGAAAATACTTTAACCCCCAAACTTTAGGTTTAGTTTTATTGGAGAATTATTTCAGACAAACAGACACAGAATGCCTATTGTCGGCAAATTGACTCTTGCGTTAAAGCCACTTGTTTCATGGCTTCATGGGTTTGTAAAGTCATGAGCATGAATGGGGACATTTGGTTTTTAATGAGACTGTTACATAACTGCTGTCGATGAAGTCAAGCAGACACTTGTCGTCAATGTTGGTATTCAGGAAAAGTCTGGAAACAAATTGCCAATCTTTATTATATTTTGCCACTCCGCCGGTTGCACTACCCTATCTATTTAACAGTTGGACCTGCAAGCCACACATCTGTACCCTCTGCTTCCTGATTAACGATTCATATTCAAGCAGCTCCCCCAATCTCCTGTACACGGATCACGGGATAATTGGGTACTGCCAATTATTTCGACGCATCGCATGTGATAGGAAGAAGTTGATTCTGCCTCTGACCCTCCGTGCAAAAGAGCAAAAATCAATATCCACACAACTCATTATGAAGATTCTGCGCATACCTCTGCATGACAATACACCAGAACACACCAAGAACATGAAATTGTGTGAATTTTCACGTGAAAGGAATGTTTTCAGAGACTGTTTTGTCGACATCTGATTTAGATTTTAACCAGCGTGCAGGCAATACTGTAATCTGCACAGACCACAATAATGCAATTAGCTGCAGAGATGGTTGACGCAGAGCCGTCAATCCAAATAAGAGGATGAATCTCATCTCTTCACTACAAGAATCCGGAAATAAGCAAAAAATTCTGTGCCGATTTCCTCACTGTGGTTATTTCAGATGTTATTGTTGTATCTTGCTGTGAGGGTTTATTATAATCTTAATGCTCTGACTTTCCAATGTAGCATGTCTTCAATAAGCCTTGATCTTTTGCAAACATTTTTTACACAGGAGGTCAATAACCGAATGTGCATGTGACGTGAAACTATACGAGAATGTAACCATGCATTCAAAGTCACAGTTCACTTTTGTGTTTATACCGTGTATAATAAGTCTATTTTAAAAAGACGGTTCCTCTGAGGGGGGCGTTTTCTCTTCAACATGTTTTTACTGTTCCTCGACATGTATCTCAGCAGTGTCTGGCTGTGTAAGAGATTAATGGAGTGTGTCTTTTTCCAGGCCTTGGGAGTGTACCCCCTGCTGTTAATGCAGTGAGAAAGGAGCGGAGGAGCAGCCGGGCAGGCAAAGGCAGCCGTCGCCTCACGCCGGGTGACTGACTGAACAAACTCCATCTTGAGCAGTAATAACACAGCATCAGTGGCTCTTGGTGCTGGGCTTGCAGAACTGTAGTATTAGTGGGCCTAATGCTATTTTGTGTTAAAAATTGCATTTTTAATGTGAAGTACTTTTTCTTCCCACATGTCTGCAGAACTTTTGCTGCGCTTCGGCTCAGTTTCTCAGAGGAACCTGAAAGGAAATCTGTGTGCTTTGCTTTTTTTTAAGCGGCATTTGCAAAGAACAGTTTGAGGACCACTTAGTTGAGAGACGTCAGGTCTCCATAATGCATGGCAAATGCAGATAAATGCACAAAGTGGGCTGTTGGTCTTCAGAGTACTTTCCGAAGATCCTCCAAATAGTTTTGTCTCTGTATATATAATATTTTTTATCGTTTATTTGGATTCTTGTGATTTTTTTAGGGCTCACTTATAATGTTTGATGGTTTTTCTGATTCTCTCTGAGCGTTGCATGCAAATGAACCTGTGAATCTTATAATTAAAGTGTTTTTCTTCACCGTGGCCAATTTATTTTTTGTGTGGTTCTTTATTTCTTTTGAGGTAAAACATCTGAAGTAAACTAGGACTGTGACACCGTGAATGAATTTTGGCCAAAATCCAAGCCTTGTTATAACTTTATGGAAACATTAGATGAAATTCTTTACATCATGGGGTAGGCTCCGGCCACAGAAAATGCATGGAATTTATTAATGGTCTCAACGAGCTCTCCACCCGAGCCAGGCTGCGCTTGGTCTCTCCAGATGTTTAATTCAAGCCCCGTCAGTTCCCACGTGAAGTTTCTCATTTGAGTCGACAGTTTCATGCAATGGGAGCGAGTTAAAAAACATTACCGACACATGAAGACTCTATAAAAGCAGCCAGACAATATATGGCGCAATGCCTCAGGGTTGACCATGTTTGGAATTAGATAGATCTACAGTATATTCACTGAAAACCTACAGCTTACTTCTAAACCAGTCTCCCAACTATCATTTCAAAGCTGTACTTTGTTTTAATATAGCCGAAAAGATAGTGAATGAAAACCAGTTAACCGAGCCATAAACAAAACAATGGATTCAGCTCATCTAAACTCAAAGCCCAGCACAGCAAATGGAAGTCAACAAGGCCCAAAGGAAGGCGTCCGGGGATCTATTTGGATGTGTGCCCAGCGTACCTTTGTATGTTGTTGGCGGGGAGTAGTTGCCCTCTGGCTATGAGGCAAAAACTCTTTCCTTTCCTCTGAGATGCTGCTTGTTGTTGCTGTCCATTTGTGTGGGGTGACGAGCACGTTAGTGACTCAGGCAGACAGTTTTAATTAAGGCCAGCTTGAAGAGCAAGAGATAATACGGATGTGTACAAACTACTAACCCTCCACTTATACGCACACAACCACAGCACGGACTTATGTGACACACCAGGTTTGCAGTCATACACGGAGGCATGTGCACAAGATGAAAGCGTTAGGAAATCTCTGTAATGAATTGAACAAGTAGGACACTACTCATTAGGGATGCATTTGTGTACATGAGGCATGAGCAATTCATTATTTTCAGTCTCACAAATTCTGGTGCAGGCTAGCGGAAGTAAAACAGATTTTTAAATAGGTTTTCAACTCAGAAAAATCTATTTAGCAGTTAGTCAGGACGGGTGAACACCCAAACTGGACGATCAACATTTGCTTTAAACAGACTCCGCAGTGGTCAGAATGTGCAAAGATGCATTACATTTTAAACTTCAAGGTTGTGCGTAACTTTTGGGAAAAAGGCATCACTCTCAAAGTCAGAAGAGTTTGATTCGTAGGTTAATAATACATGTATTTTGCTGTACTTGCTCATTACACTTCCTAATGTCGACAGGGTAGGTGGCCCTTAACAAATATTGTAGCGATTTAACCAATTCCAATGTACCAACAACCCCAAAAGCCTGAGTGCCACACATCTGTCATAACTCAATTCCCTGGTTGGCACCTTCTTTGCTGTGAAACTCTAGTCCACCTCAGCGGCCAAATTGCATCGTTGCTTGGCTTCAGTGAATAGAGACTTCCTGTAGTTTGGGGCAGTGATTAACTAGCCCCTTTTTGTCAGCAGTACGCCTCACTTCCCGCTCACCGGGAGAGCAGCAGAAAAGACAACAGCGAGCTCCCAGGCCGAGTCAACTGCACAAGCGCAGTCCTGTTCACCCACCATTGTTCCCCAATCTCTTCCATTGTGGATATTAAAGACCAGTGGACTCAGGACCTCGTTGTAATAAACCTCTCAACATGTTTACAGACCCCTTTCTGGGACCGGGGCGTTGCCTCCAATTACGATGCTATTGAGACCCCACTTCTGTAATTACACATAAGCCTTCCTCCGTATTGGCTCAGCAAAGAGATCTACTCTTTTGCATGTGAATAACCGGAGCTGGTGTTAAAGTGAGCTTTATGAACAAAATGAGCAATGGTTTCTTCAAAATATTAAATGGATACAAAATAAATTGGATGCTTTTAGCTTTGTGAAAACTCATCTGCTGCAACTCAAAGACAAACATTATACTAAAATACTACAGTACTCTGACACGTTTAAAATAACGATTAGATTTGATTATATATATTATTTTAACTTAGTCTAGTTACGAGTTAGAATGGCGTGTACATGAGCTGCAATCACAGGAACATTTCCCTTTTTTAAATACAGGATTTAATCCACAAATTAACACCACCCAAAGTATATATTTCCTAGTTCATGATTGTCTTGCTTAATTGCTCAGAAAACATTCAAAGAAATGTAATTGTCAAGGATTCCTAATCAGTGAAGGTAAATGGTTATTTTCACATCACCTTGAAAAGAAGGCCTAAATGTCATTGTATATATATGTAACATATTTTTATTCTCAGAAATGATGTGTATATTAATGTTATTCAAGCAAAATAATAATTGCAAATCGTGATGAAAGATCATACGGCCATTTCAAATTGTTGAATGGTGCCAATGATTATATATTCCCATTGATGTATGTATGTTCTGATGCCAAATTTTGTTGTTGACGATGAACCAATTAATATTACCATTCTAACGCGATTGTTTCAGAGAAATGTGGGAGGCTTGGCGCTATTTCTCACATTCTGTGTGGATTCCTCTGGTTCACTGGATCACAACCTATCAATCCATTATACTATATGCACTATGGTTTGTTTAATTTTGTTGCCTTCCACTCACCTCCCATGGATCCTAGCTAGATGTATATTTCACACAACCCCACACAAATGTACAAACACACACACACAGACACAACTACAAACACACACACAGACACAGTCTCACAGACTTGAGAATGAAAGGGGTTCACGAGGAGTGCACAAAGATGGAGAATGAAAAGGACAAAGGTGATGGAGGTGGTTGGTAGATCATTGAGTCTGCGCGCGCGTGTGTGTGTGTGTGTGTGTGTGTGTGTGGGGGTGTGTACACTAGGTGAATGAGGGTTGCCCTTGCTCACAACTCCCTTTGTCTTCGACTAATTCCACAATCTTGTCCACAGGAAAAGGGCTCCTACTCACCCTGTTTACAAAGGGCCCCTCAAGCGTGACCTCTCATTATGTACGGCCCCTCCTCTTACAACCAAAAGGGCCCCTTAGGGCATCAAGCTACCAAAAAAATATCACACAAACCCCATTTGCATTTGATTTGATTATCCTTCATGGTTGATTCAGGGTCCTCGGAGCTTCTGTCAGGGGCCTTTGAGACAAGCCCTCGACCTGACACACTAACTTGCATATCAGTTTTTTTTATCTTCTCTTACAAAAATTAATTCCTTCACTCGCAGCAAAGCAAGATGCATCAGCAGGTACTTGAAGATACTTGAAAATAGTTTGATTTTACTCTTCTTGGCAAGATACTTGTAGCATGAAACAATTAAAAGAAAATAGGATGAGTTTTAGGAAACAAAAGAATGGTAAAAAAGTTCTCAGACTATTTACAATCTGCCTTTCTTTACGTTTTTAAACACTAAATCATTAAACTGTGTTTTTTATATCTCTAGTCTTAAACTAAGAGGGTATGGATTGTAACATTTGAATATTATAGACTGTGGACTGCGGGTTCAATCCTATTTTACATTTTGCGTTGAATTTGAATATTGCCCTTGTTTGTTACCGTTAGTGTCTAAATGTAAAAGTTGGACCGCTGTATTTTAATTTCACCAGTTTAAGCAAATGTTACTTCGTACATCAAATGAACCCCAGCAAGAGTAAACAGGCACACACGATGATCCGAGTTTAGTGTGAGTAGTGTTTCGAAATAGTCAAATTTCTCTTCTGAATTGAACGTTTTTTCACCATTTATTGTCCCATAAAACCTCTCCCTTGAAATACAGAATAGAGTGAAATCTAAAACACATCGGATGATTAGAAACATCAACACTTTTTTGTTCTTTGCTGAAACGTTTTTTTTTACAGATACACATGGTGCGTCCTTGCACGACAACAGAAATACAATCATCTGCTACAGCTCCGAGGGGGGGGGGTTCAGATGCTCTGCTTTCCTGTTCCTGTTTGCCTGTTGCGAATGTGTGTGTGTGTGTGTGTAACTGTATATATATATATGTGTGTGTGAGAGCAAGCAAATGTCTGTAGGGCAGCTGTGTCCCCGATATGCGAGGACCCGACCCAGCTGTCAGTAACCATACGCGAAAGGTCTCTCTGCAAGCATGGAAATAAAATGTACCTCCGTCTCACAGCAGGAACTGGCAGGGAATTGTCAAAAGTTTATGAAACAAATGGGCCGCTTCTGAGCACATCTCAGCCCTAATTTAATCAGCAACTTTGATTGAATATTCATGCAGCGCTGAGGGACGCAACAAAGCCTGTCTCGATTAATCTTTGTACATAGGTCCCTGCATTGAGGCTTGTTTGTTGAAATAACATGGTGTGCATGAAAGGTCAAGGCCCTCGTAGCAGTAACTCAGTAATGCAAATGGGTGCCAGCGCGGATGTTGTTGCATGTTATGAAAATAATGGACCTGCCCATGTAGTTATTCTCCAGTTAGAGCTGGAAAGATGTAATGGGTCTTATTGTTGTGGTATTTTGTTCACTGCAAGAAATTGTTGCTGCTATATGCTGTTGTTCACCTTTGTCTGGAAGTGACAGACGTGGTGTTTGCGAAGTCAGGTCACAAATGTGTTAATATTAGACACAAACACAGTCAACCTAAGTGCAAGTCGCTCACTCTCTGAGATAATCTATTGTCTGTGTTGTACTTAATGTTCTGCTGCAATTGTGTTCTATTCTTTTCCCGCATCGTCAACAGCGCACACAGTGCTCTGCACGTATAATGCGGCCGAGCCCTCTCAAGCAAATGCGATCTGAAAGGCTGGCAAAGGCGAGGGGACGCAGCTGTCGGCGGAGCGTGTCTTTTTTAAGGGCTGCCCCTAATGATTGGAGACAGTTGGCAATTACATAAGTATTCACTTTTAGGCCACTGGGCTGTAGACTGTGCCGAGCCCCCCGGACCCTGGCACACATGCAAAATGGGAAGAGGGGGAGGTG